TAAGCAGTTCTCTGATTATGTTAATCTACTGAACATTTTACATTGAAACTTTAGGTGAAGTAAACACAACCCCATCTGACTTACAGTGAAGAAAATGAAAATGAGTTTCTTTAAACCATAAAATGAATATACACTCCTAATCAAAATTTTAGGACCAGTTGAAACTAGGGCGAAAGTTGCTCCAAACAGTGAAGGTGGCTTCTTGGAGGGTATTGATTGTGTGGAACTGGTGTCCATTTTTGTAAACTTCCATTGACACCCAACCCCAAATGTTCTCAATTGGATTTAGATCAAGGGAACACACAGGATGGTCCAAAAGAGTGATTTTATTCTCTGGAAGAAGACTTGTGTCAGGTGGGTATTGTGAACTGCAGCGTTGTCATCTATAAAAACCCAGTCATTACCACACAGACGATGGCCTTCAGTCATGAGGGATACCCTCTGCAACATATCCACGTAGCCAACTGCCATTTGATGCCTTTGCACAACCTGAAGCTCCATTGTTCCATTGAAGGAAAAAGCCTCCCAGATCATGATTGCACCTCCTCTTCTGCGCTGTGTAGAAAACATCTCAGGTGGGATCTCCTTGTCTTGCCAGTAACGTTGGAAGCCATCAAGACCGACAAGGTAACATTTTTTCTCATCAGAGAATAAAACTTTCTTCCACCTTTCAATGGCCCACATTTGATGCTCTCATGCAAACTCAAAATGGGCAATTTTGTGCCGTTGAAGGAGACAAGGCCTTTGAAGATGTTTTTTTTTTGTTCCTAAAACCCTTCTCTGGTAGGTTCTGTCTGATGGTTGGGACTGCATTTGGCACCAGTAACAAGCTTAATTTGGGCCAAGATGGTCCTGTGTCTTGACGTAATTTTCGTTAAAACTTCAGGCCCGCACCTCCCTTCCACTTCTTGCTTACTGCCTTTGTTTTTACAGAGAGCAGCAGATCATTACGTTTTCAGTTCACCAACGTCGGGGAAAACGATCCAAACCATACAAGTAGCCCATCAATTTAAAGCCTAGACTCTGCTCTTTCCAACAATRTAAGTGTCACAGCTCTACGTGAAACATCCACCGAACAAGCAGCCAAGGAATAGCGAAAAAGGCTAAATTCTGGAACCATAAATGCGAACATCTTTCCTTTGTTTTTATGACTTTAATCCACTTTGGAGTGATTTTTTTCCCACTTGGCTGAGCCTTTATGTCTCCTGTGTTATTATTGATACATGTACAGTAATATGCTAATTCTGTACTGTGGAGGTCATTAAGAGTCGTCGAGTGAAAAAATCTTTTGCTAACACAGTGTTGCCTGTGAACTGGAAGACCGGTGCGTGTCCAAAGAATGCTGAAGTGCTGGAATCGTAAGTCTGTGGCATATAGGCTATTGGAACCTCAGTCTCAGGGCCATTGATTTTTTTGGGAGTTTACCACTTGACTTTTTTGTTCCATAACCCTCAGGATCATTTAAAAAATGCAAAATGACTGTCTTACTGCATCCAGCTTCAACAGTAATGGCATGCGGTGAGAGGCCTTATGGAGCTCAACAATTTGACCATGTTCATAGAGAGAAAAACTGACAGCTTGACACTGTGGATACCTGGACTTTTGATCAGCTAATGAACAGCCTATTTCAGCTTAATGGTTGTTTGCAATAAAATGCTTACTCAATTTTCTTTTGTTGTTTCACTCCTATTTCGAAGCTCTACTTAGAATCTTCTTAAGATCCAACAGTGCAAAATATAAATCCTTGCCATTTTTCAACTGGTCTTAAAATTTTGATCAGGTGTGTACTGGTAATCATTTGCAGAAATTCAAAAACTTACTTTCATTCATATGCTGCTGTTTGTATGGTCATTGATGAAAACTTAAGTCAGTTTATAATGAATACAAATTACTAAAAAGTTAATGGAGGAGTTTTGGGTGAAATGTCCTGTGTAGAAAATGTTAAAACGTAAATGTCCATCCATCCACTCACCCACCCATCCACTTCCAACAACAGAACATGTTTTTCAAAAATAAACTGGTTTCTTCCCCAAAAAGGGTATTTGTTCTGAAAACTAACTTGGAAAATAAACAAATCGTATTGTGAGATCATCTTTAAATACTGATACATGTGGTTTACAATGGCTTGCACTTTACCATATTTTGTCACATGACAACCATAAAGAAATATATTGCATTAGAATTTAATGTGAAAGACTAACACAAAGTGGAATACAGTTGTAAAGTGGAAAGAAAATTATATGATTCAAAACATAGTTTACAAATAAAGTGAAAAGTGTGCACTCAGAGAAGGGAGCTGAAAACTTTTGCTCACCACACGTGTGTGTGTGTGTGTGTGTGTGTGTGTGTGTGTGTGTGTGTGTGTGTGTGTGT